ACCAAAAACCGTAATTTATGGAAAGGCAGGAAGTTAAGGTAACAGCACAGAGTGACCTCTGCACGACGAAGTACATGTGAGTTGCAAGAAATGGCAGCAGTATGAAAGTATTGAAGATGTTCAAATTTTAAAAAAAAAATTATAAAAGAAATGTGTTGGCCAAACTATTTTTTAAGTTTCAATTCGTTGCCGTCAAAAATTATATTTTCTACCCCCCCCCCCCCAAAAAAAAATACCACCACCACTAATCACACCGAAAAACCCTTCTAAGGATGATAGAGGTCTTTTTTCCAATGAAGAATAAGTGAAAGAAAAAAAAAGTAACAAACGTATTTGGTAACCTCTAAGAAAAAATATTTCTGCACTTGCTACGGCTCGTGGCACCGTCAAAGTTATTTGTTACGCGATCGCAGATTTCGGGTAAGAATCTGCCAACGGCACAAACCATTAAGGACCTTGTAATGCTCTTTGCACATCTCCTGGTGTAATTTCTCTCAAGATCTTCAGTTCTTCTGTTAAGTCCGAACCATCTAAATCCTGTGAGTCATCACTTCTCGGAGCCATGTTCCAATCCATACAGAGTTTGATCAGCTTATTTAGAATCATGACGCGTGGTTACTGAATATCGAATAGAATGCCAAAAATATCAAATTACAGTCGTAGCTACGGAAGTTTTCAGTAGTTCAGTTAGGCTTTGATTGGGTTTTTTAGAAAATTGTCTTGTTTTAGATTAGATGGGGCCAGAGGGGCAACTAATGATCACTCCTTCTATAAATATTTTTTTCTTAATTCTCCTTGACCTTGGCATAGGCACCTTTCTGTTTCATTTTTTTTTTAAAGACACCATTCATAAAGTACGTCACGTTATTTTATTTTTAAATTTTACTCCTTGTCAAATATATCACCACACACACCACACAACACACACACAACACACAAACACACACACACCACACCACACACACACATCACAGACACACACATCACACACAAACACACATCACACACACACACATCAGACACGAACACATCACACACACACATCACACACACACACACATCACACACACACACACAAATCACACACACATCACACACACACATCACACCACACACACCACACACACACACATCACGCACATCAACACACACACACACAAATCACACACACATCACACACACACATCACACCACACACACCACACACACACACATCACGCACATCACACACACCACACACACACATCACACACACACCATACACACACATCACACACACACACATCACACACACACACCACACACACACACACCACACACACCCACACAAATCACACACACACCACACACACACATCACACCACACACACCACACACACACACATCACGCACATCACACACACCACACACACACATCACACACACACCATACACACACATCACACACACACACATCACACACACACACCTTTTTCGCCCAAAGTGAGTCACACTTTCATTAAATGGTTTAAAAAATAACAACAAATTAAAATTTAATCTAAAAGACACTTCGCCATTAAATTCATGAAAGTGACATCTTCTTTCAACATCCATCCATCACATCAGAGAGCTAAACATCACTGTCTATTTCAGGTGTTAAAGCTATGATTTTTTACTTAAATGTGTGACTCCCATGTGACATAAACCTACCACCCCGCCACAAACTACCACACTTTATTAGACCACCACACCCCCCCCACCCCACAACCCGCTGGCCCAGTGATATTTTCATTATACGATTAGAAGATTTGTATAGATATGTTTCAGGGAAATCTCAGATGCTTTGTTCAGTGCTTATTCTATTCCATAATCTGTCATTCTGAGAATGACCATGGCATCCGCTTTCTTGCGATTTTTTTTAAATTATTGATTTCCCCCCCCCCCCCATTCATTGCGCATGTGATGGAATAAATTAAGGAACTTGGCACATTACAGGAAGCGTGATGTCATCAGCTCGCGATACCGGATCATTGATTGGTTCATAGGTTTATTGCAGTCTTTGGGGGAAGTAAGGCGCAGCTCAGACTAGGCTTGATTAGCTCCTTAATCAATGGTGCATCACTTTAAAATTTATTTTGTATTCGCTGGGTATGCCATAGGCATAACCAAAAGGGAGGCGAAAAAAGAATTGAATCAAGTGTGTCATTTAAAAGCTGCGATTCGTGAAATAAGCTTGAGCGGAGTGTATTGATAACGGTAGTAACGTGAAATGAGAATGCTTCTCTCCAATGTCATTGGCAATGAATAGCGGTTCCCTAGTCTGGTGAGCAGAATGTCAAAGTTCTAGGATTTGGTGAAGGGCAGTTGGTGCTGCAGTCACTGGAATCCCTGTGGAAATAAAAAGGCATACGTCTACTATGTTGAGTTTCAGTGAAAAGCCGTCATTTAACACAATATAAACTTGATTTGCGGATTTCCAAACAAGACTATTTACTCCAATTCGCATCTAAAGACCTGAACATTTTTTACTGACATAATTATACAGCCCCTAAAAACAAAGATTTTATAAAAATCCTTAATATGCATTTTTTATTATTTTATTTCATATTTTATTTGATATAAAAAATATAATGTTCCAACCACTTTTATACCCAGATTTATCTCCCCAACTATTTCAGAAAAACAATAGAAAATTGTACGCACAAAACTCACTTGCGATATTCTTTTTAAGAATCTCATTTAGCGCAATTTATTTCATGAAATCTGTGGCATCATAATTCCTTCATCTTTCCACTGAGAAACAGGAAAAGCTGATTATTTTTTTTTGGGGGGGGGGTGATGCTGAATTTTGATAGAACGTGTTGTCATTGGCAACGAGTTTTCAGCTCGATAGGTTGACTGGAATTGGGTCGATTAGCCAACCGAAGATTTGCCGTAAACCCACAAACGCGAAGTTAATATAAATGATTTTTTTTTAAGCCATTTTGTTACGGTCTAGGACGCCCCGGGAATGTTCACACGAACTTGAAAAGATCCCCAAAACTCACGATTAATGAGCCTAACATTCTGTGTAATTCAGGATTGCACAGCCTTATATAAAACATATATATTTATTTTGCACCCACTTCGACCTGTTAGAATAAGTCTCGTATCCCCAAGAAAATTAATAAGAAGTTGGACTTCAAATTTTTAAACTGAAGGGAACTTAGCAAATAGACAAACGTATAGCATAAAGTCAAATTTTATGAAGAAATAAAGATAATTTTTATAAACCCCACTTACACTTTAATGGTCAATTGGCCCTCCATTAAGTGCATCACGTTGTGTTACACCCCACTCTGTCAAAATCTGTCACAAATCTCGGACCACCCCCCCCCCCCCCCCCCCTAAAGTACCTACAAAATGAAATAAAATTTGTTTTCAAAAGTAAAAACTAAATAAAATTTAATCTCCAACACACTCAAATATTAAAACTAGACACTGCTGATTGACATCTTGTTTCAGAATAAATCAAGCAAGGCAGAAAACGGCTCCTCTCTTCTTATGATCACTTTTTCCTCGCAACCCATGAAACACCACCTCTCACCCCCTGATGGTGAAGGCACTCAAGGTTAGGGAACCCTTCACTGTAATGTATCAAGATGAGTTTGATGTTCCTCTCACCCCCATTATGGCGAAGGCACTCAAGGTTAGAGAACCCTTCACTGTAATGTATCAAGATGAGTTTGATGTTCCTCTCACCCCCTGATGGTGAAGGCACTCAAGGTTAGGGAACACTTCACTGTAATGTATCAAGATGAGTTTGATGTTCCTCTCACCCCCTGATGGTGAAGGCACTCAAGGTTAGGGAACCCTTCACTTTAATGTATCAAGATGAGTTTGATGTTCCTCTCACCCCCTGATGGTGAAGGCACTCAAGGTTAGGAAACACTTCACTGTAATGTATCAAGATGAGTTTGATGTTCCTCTCACCCCCTGATGGTGAACGCACTCAAGGTTAGGGAACCCTTCACTGTAATGTATCAAGATGAGTTTGATGTTCCTCTCACCCCCTGATGGTGAAGGCACTCAAGGTTAGGGAACACTTCGCTGTAATGTATCAAGATGAGTTTGATGTTCCTCTCACCCCTGATGGTGAACGCACTCAAGGTTAGGGAACCCTTCACTGTAATGTATCAAGATGAGTTTAATGTTCTGATTTTGTTGTGTAAGGACTTGGCCCCGATTGCAAGCACATTTTATCGGTTGTTAAATCTATTCTAACGACATGTTGATTGCATTTTTTTGTTTTTAACAGTGTACAAAATTATTAAAATATAGACCTAAAAATGCAAAACAAGTTTGCCTATTCGCCTTGAACGTTGGGACCTTCATCTTTGCCCACCCCTTCTCCTTGACCATAGAAAGTGTGCTTGTTAATTGTTATCCTTGTGTGACTGTAATGATTTATCTCCATCACATATCATAGTGTTTTGAAAGAGCAGTCAATGCAATAATTGAATTCCATGTACAATTATAGTGGTGGGGCGTAAGAGCGGAAATTCCTGTTATATAATAATTTCTCTCAATATCAACTTCTTCCTAAAACTATTTATTGACATTTTGCAAAAGAGTTGACGAGTGGAGTCTCCTGTACTGCCCGACTCCAGTAAAACAAATGAAAGAACGTTTCTGGTAATACCTTTGCTAGCCGCTCATATGAAATTGTTTAGAAAGAAAAAGATTTAATGCGATCGTCATATATTTGGGGTCCTCATCTGGTGGCCTTTGTAAAAAAAAAAAAATGTTAAAGATGTACGGTCAAAATTAAATATTAGTAATGTAAAAATTGTAATCGACGAGGATGGGATTCGAACCCACGCGGGGAGACCCCAATGGATTAGCAGTCCATCGCCTTAACCACTCGGCCACCTCGTCTTGCACACGTCTGGTTAACTATTAATTATATTCCAAAAAATATTTAATAAGCAGCGAAAATTTTGATGGTTTTTTTTAAACTTTTTACTTTAAGGCCTCAAGTATATACTTTACTATCTTAGAAATGTATGTTGTCAAATGTGATGATGGAAATGTAATGTTTTAACTGAAAAAAAGATTTCCACTTCCGCTTTTAAAGTTTTCCACGTTGTTATGGACGCGTTGTTTAGGGGAAGTGGGCAAATATTGTTATCTCTGGTTCGCAGATCGATTAATTTTTAAATGCTATAAGTATAAGCTACTCCTTTACAACTATTATTTTAAAACCGTGTTTAAAAGAAAAAAAATGACATCTTCTGGTAGGCCAACTTTTAATTATAAATTTCTTTTTCAATGTTATTGTAAAATATTAATTAATTAATTATAAATTTATAAATTGAAATGATTAAAATTTAAATTAAATAAAAAATGCCTGGCTGTACACTGTACAGTATGAGTATGTACAATAAATGAATAAACTAAACAATAAACTCAATTTGACCAGTCATTAAACTTTATCTTCTCCTTTATTTTTATTACCTAATGTTATCAGTCAGTGAGTCCATCAGGCTTTTCGAATCCAGTGTAGGTAGAGATTGGAACGTGACAATGACACTTAATTTACTTACTTTATATTTTATAATTTTCAATTTATAAACAGTTTTACTTTTACAAGCATAGTTATTTATTTCATATTAAAGTATTCTCATTATTATTTATTACTGATATTAATATTACAGTGTATATATATAGTATAGCAAGTGTAAGTGAAGGTTTAATTTTTTTTAATTAATGTTGAAAAAATCAATATACCTTACTTTTTTACTTTTCGGGAATATATATTATATTAATAATTACATTATAACTAATACAAAATATTACAAATACTTTAAAATACTACTATTAGTAGTAGGAAGTTTGTAAGTTACAAAATAATATGGTTTATTATCATGTATGTAATGTATAGAGCATAGTCCATAACAAAAATTATTAGATTAGGCTCAGTAATTAATTTTGTGAAAATAACATTAAGTAGCTAAATGAATTGACAATTGAAATAGCTGTAACTGTAACCTGACCTGTAATGATGATTGTTTGCATCATGGTCTTGATGATTAATCTCAAATATTTTATCTTCTTAATATTTCTGAACTTTATACCATAGTACAATAACAACCACTTTGGAGTATAAACTTTGGGGGTATTATTTTATTATTTAAGTCTTCATTATACTTTTCTAAAAAGATATTTATCAATATTTTATTTATATTATAGCTAACAATCCTGCCCTACAACAGAAGAAAGAACCTGCAGTGCTTAACCATGCAAGTCTTGTGACACTTGCTAGAGGTATAGGTAAAGAAGATCTTAAAGGACTTGAGTTTATTATGTATTTAAATATCCCAGCAAAATTCATTATAAACTGTGCAGCTGAAATTACAGAAACACCACTAACAGCAGAAGGCTCTGAATACAACAAAATGGCAGTTACACAGAGTTGTTTAATGTACTGGAAAGAGCTGACAAAAGACACCAAAACAAAAGAAAGGCTGAAAAGCCTGGAGAGAGCTTTGAGAGAGATTGGAAAGGGTGACATTGCAGATCAAGTTTTGGAGAACCATCAAGCCAATCAAGAGTTATCATCAGAAATTTTTGCATGAATGGCTTTATTGATGTGGTATTTTTCATTAATTTGAAAAAAAAATGTTTATGCACAGCGTTTGCTGAATTGTAAGGTTAATTGCTGTATGAATCAGTTTGAATCCATTACCGGTATAATGTTTTTCTTATTTAATGTTAAAACTGCTTTATTATGTACCCAGTATTGAAAAATGTTTTAGTTATACAAATTAGAAATACTGGAAAGTAACTTTTGGCAATTGTGGTTGTTATTTTTAGTGAAATGGTTGAATTTTTTATATTTGTTAATGTACATTACAATTATGATGTTCAATAACTCCACAGTATTTGTGTAAGAAATGTTATTTTTTTCATTATTGTTTTCTTTTACTATTTTTTTTTTTCAATGAATTTAACCAAAACTTTTTGAAAATCAGTACAAATATAATAATTTTTCTTGGATTAAACTGGTATACAGATGAGCAGAATAAAACAAAATACTTAATGGTGATGCAGTAAAATTTAAAAGTGTCAAAGAGGTCTGTTCAGCCAAAAAATTGTACATAAATAAAGTTAAATATGAATGTTTATTGTCTTGTATACTGCTATGTGATTAAAAGTCTTGTATAACAGTAAATTATTGTCTACACATTTTTTCACAAACATAAATTATCATGCTTATTGTTTTAGATATAAATAAAGAGTCAATCGGACTTATTTATCACCTTGCGCAAAAGATATTTTGAAGCCAAGGATGATTGAATTCATTTCTTTAAATTTTATAACTCTCTAAACAAGTCTGTTTTTTTTAAAGATTTTTTTTTTATATCTAAGGCAGTGCTTTCCAAACTGTGTGTCACATGCAGTGTGTCATGAAAAAATTAAACTACACCAACATGTTAAACTTTAAAATTGAAATCCACTGGACATTAATTAAGAAAAGAAATTGAAAAAGTGGGGCAAATTTAACTTATTTTAAAAAGGAGAAAAACAAGACCTCTTTAATCAAGATTATTTGCAAATATTTTTGAGCTGGGGGGGGGGTGTCACAAAAATACACAGTTCCTGTTCACAGAGATTCATTGGCTCTGTCTAGTTGGGTGCTTGTCATATATATATATATATATATGGACTATTGCAATGCTCTTATGGTGGGTCTTCCAGCTACGCTCCTGGATAAAATTCAAATAGCGCAGAATAATGCGGCTCGCATTGTTCTCCGCAAACGCAAGTTTGACCATGCAAAAACACTTCTGAGAGAGCTGCACTGGCTGCCAGTGCGTGCTCGCATGGAGTACAAAATCGCAACTTTGTGCTACCGCTGCTTACATGACCTGGCGCCGTCCTATCTGAAAGAGCTGCTGACGCCTTATGTACCCACTAGAGAGCTCCGCTCATCCGATAGTGGCAAACTCTCGACACCACGTGTTTGCCTTGAGACTTACGGAAAGCGCACTTTCGCATTTGCTGGTCCAATAATTTGGAATGCCCTTCCTGTCGATCTCAGAAACAACCAGACACTGGAGTCCTTTAAAACCGATTTAAAGACACATCTATTTCGCAAACACCTTCTGGGATGATTGTCAACATTATTTTCCAGTTAATGCATAATGGCTATGTTGCTTATGGTTGAAATGGCTAGAAAGACTTTGCCATTGTATGCTTGTACTTAGTTTTTGTCGCGTTGCGTTTGTTTTAAATGTGGTAAACTATAGATTTGTTTTTTGTTGACTTTGTACCGCGCTTCGAGCCTTTGGGGATGAAGCGTGTTTTTGAAATGAACTTTATTATTATTATTATTATTATTATATGAATTGTAGGCAGGGATGTTTAAATTTTTTTAAATGGAAACAAGCAAAATGAATTTTGCATTTTTATTTAAAACGAATTATGTGCACAAAATTGGCATATTTTGATCTTGCTGATATATTTGCATAAAATAAACACAGGCATTCAAGGAAAATGAGACAAGAGTGGTAGTCTATATCGAATTTGTGCTATGGCATTGGGAGCAATAGCAAAGCCAGGTTTTGACTCTAGGGAGAGCAAGAGTTCTTTTTTAAAAAAGGCCTTCACACTAAAATGTAAGTGTAAATAAACAAACTGATCATCTGTTTTATTTTTGTATTTGAAACACCTTACCATCCAACATGTTGGAAACAACAAATATGTACAGGGACGGAGGGGGGGACGACTTTAATCGCTTTCCCAGAAAATCAAAATACTGGTTTGCATTTTGGCACATAGCGGAATTTAGTTTTTATTGTTCTACACTTTCCATTAGCATCTACACTAGGGATGATAGTGGAAATTAGGTTCCCTAATCTGAATGCGCTTATTCAAAACCTTTAATTTAAGTTGTTACCAAAAAGTAATGCTTTTATAAAAAAAAATAAAAAATATTTATTTGTTTAAACTACTTCATTAAAAAGTGATTTTTAAAGATGGATCACAAAACAATTATTCTGTTACCTGGTCCCTTTTGAACTACACTACCATTTGAGGATGGGATAAGACAAGTAGTTTAGTGGAGACTTGTTGGATTTCGTTAATGCTGCTTAAAAATCATTTAAATTAGTTTTTACTTTTTTTCAGAGATGATACAGATGAAAAACGTTTTTTCAAAATTAAAAGTTTTACAACCAATTATTTTTCGATTATCAGTAAAATACTATTTTAAAAAGGCCCTGCTTTAGGAAAATGTATGCAGAGTGAGTGGTCACTACTTCTGCTACCCAAATGACTATGCTACAGATTGGGAGACAAGCAAGGGATTTGGAAATGGAAAATGAAAGAAGAAACTTTGGACAAGAATTGTGTAACCTAAAATATGATAATAGCTCAATATTTGGCGACCTTACTATTACTCCTTATGTATGTCTTAAAATTTAAAATGGATAAGTTTAACCCCCGATATAATGAAGACTTACTGTTTTGGGAAATAATGTATTGCTAAAAGTGGTGTCGCCAATATGAAATGTTTGAAAAGCACTGATATAGGGCCTCCCCAAGTCCTGTAAAAATATTTTCAAAAATTGCATTAGGGTAGTGGAAAAAATATTTTCTGTTACATGACCTCTCCTGTGAAATTCGGAAAACCTGACTTACACATTTAGAGAGTGGTATTGACAATTGACAAAGTGTATTCTTCTGATAATAAACACAAACATTTAAGTTCAAGATTTTTCGATAAATTTAGTTGGCTTTTTAAGAAAACTTTTTTTAATATCACATTTTGGCAGATTATCATGGTCTGAAAATTCTTTTCTTTTTTAATAATAACTGTAAATTAATAATTGATCAAGTTCAGTATTTTGGAATGTATCTTAACACTATAATTATAAATGTGTGACTATGATCAGAAAAATACCTACATTAATGTAATATCCCACTTTTAAAAAGCAATAATTTTGAAAAGACCCAAAAATTACTTTGGGCATTAGCAACAAGATAAAACTTTGAACTGGGATAACTGCTTATCCACATTCATGTGATGCTTATCCACATTCCTGTGATGTGTCACCACTTTGCACATAAACAAATTCAAAGGCAACAATTGCCTTGAACAAATAAAAAACTTTCAATAACACAAAAATGCAAGGGAGGTTTTTTTTTTTAAATTTTAATGCAAGTATAAAAATCTTATAACACAATTCATATTATTATTTCACACAAACATCAGGTTACAGAGCTCCAATTCATTAATCGTTAATTCTAATCAAACAATACAATGTGTAGAGGCAAGGTAAATTGGATGCACAGATGATAGATGACATAACCCAAACATCCTCAACTTACATACTTACACAAAATCTTTTAAAGCCTTTTGAGTTTGTTATAATAAATTCTTCAAGAAAGCAACTAGAGGAAAATCTAAAGGGTTAATAATTTTGAAAAAGAAGAAAGTGAATGATGAGTAACATTTGAAAACTTTCCTACTAGCTCTTTATAGATAGAGTAATTGAAAACAAGGCATAAAGATATAAGATGTAGGTATAACTTGATCTAATGATTTAGGTCCAAGTAAATAAGGGTTCATTTTTTGTTTGTTGTTTCAACAATCAATGAATTTTTTTAATGTATTTATTTCACTTGGGGAAATGAAAAAACTTAAGTAAAAAAAACTTAACCAAAAAAAAAGGAAGACAGCAAAAATATATTGGTGTGGGATATAAACTGGCTTAGTCTACACCATCCCAACACAAACAAAAATCAACTAGATTAATTTTTAAAAAATTAATAAAAGACATTAAAGAGTTGATGAAACTATATAGTCATTTATACCTGAACAAGCTGGTAAAATTATTTTAATATATACTCAAAGAATTTATTGATAAAAAGTAAGCTGTTTTAAATAATGGTAACCTTTAAAAGCCCTTTCAAAACAAAAAAATTAAATACCGGTAGTATAAAGAGAAAGTGAAAACTAGTTATTTGCGCTTTGAAATTTAACTATAACAATGGAACAAAAAATATGTATTCTTAATCAATTTATTTATAGTAATCAAGGATAATTCAAACTTAATTATTGAAATAGTTCATTTTTTACAGGACAACAAAATACATCAAAGGGTGAGATTTTAATTATTTTCTTTACATCGGTCATATAAAAATTGCAATCAAAATTAAACAAATTACAAAGTTCATCAAAAACCTTGGACTGAGTTCTTTTTAAAAGAAAATTTTGCCTGTAAAGATATAATCTTATTTTATTTAAACCTTTTTGATAGTTTCTGTTAAAACAAATGCTTGTCATCATAAAGCAGTTTGCCATCCTATGTGCAGGAAATACATTGCAGAAGAACTTAATTGTAGTTCTCAACTAAATTTAAAACCTTTCCAAATATTGAGTGTCTCCCCATAGAATTATGCAAGTGATTTTCAGGGAACGAATATAAACTTGTGCTCAATTCTTGAGTAACTATCCTTGCTCTTTTCCAACTATTTCTTCATCAAAATAATTTGGTTATATTAGTTATATATAGCCCTAAAGAAAATTTTCAAACTATTTCCTCAAAGTGACAGGTACTCCAAAAGATTTTTTGAGACAATGAAAATATTTAAAATGGAGAGAGAATCTCTTCATTCTAGGTTATTTTAACATTTCAAAAAGAGTTTAAATTGATTGACCAATACAAAAGTAAATTAAAATGCAAAGTTTAAAAATTAGTTATAAGATAATGGCAATTTATTTTCAATTCTCTCTCCTTTTTTATGTCCCAAAATAGTTTTTAAGATGGACTACATTGATGCACAAACAATAATATCTCCTTCTCATAAAGTAATATTTAATTTCTGTACAGTTCATTTCTTTACGACATACTACCTATTGTCAATAACAACATGATGATGGATGATGGGAGAATTTTTAACAGGCTCTATTTACAATAAATTATAGAGGTGAAAATGTAATAATTTTGTTAAAATAAATATTATAAAGATGATATAATAGTGAAGTCATGTTTGCATTTATTTACAATGAGATGGCGGCAAATTGTGTGTCTTGTATAAAACAAAAGGTGATGGATAAAATTGTTGGTGCAGTTAGAAACACAAATTACACAGCTTTATTTATAGTAAAGATAATTCTATTATTGCTGTCTAATAATCAGGACCTTGTTCAAATATGTTTGGTCCCATCAGGAAAATGAAATCAGTTCAACAACAACTTTTCATTAGATATTTGTTCCATCAATTATAATGTGGTTGAATTTTTATTGGCTATAAGTTTTGCCAAAATAATTACATGATATAATAAAGGAAAATAGTTGACATTATCAGCAGACAATATAAGAATCTTAATTGTGTATGCTAAACATAAATAAAGGGTCAATTTCATAATTAATTAAATTTTTTAAAGTTTACCATTTAACAAAAAAAAATTTTGTTTAGCATTCACAAAGAAAAGATCCAAAGAGCACTAGAATAGATTTTTATTTTTCTGCAATAAGTCAATCAGCTCAGATATTTTATCATAAGCACATATTTTTTCAAGAATGTAGTTCTTATATTAACCTTCCTAGCAAACATCAGGATACAATGGAAAAAATTACATGACAATAATAAACATCCAGGGCAAAATAATTTACAAAGGCATTCAACAATTACTTCATTTTGCTATTTACATAAAACCTGTACAAAGGATAGTAGCACTATCCAAAACAGTGTTGTAATAATAGGGGAAATAATGCAACAATGTTCAACAATTTAGAAAAGAAAGAACTAACTAGCTCTGGAGCATCTTCCAACATTGGCATAAGGGGTGGATGATGTAAGATGTATAGACATACTGGCTACAATATTTACAAGAATTATGAAGGGTTTTTTTCCCAATATTTTTGTTACTAATTGGAAGTGAACTTATTTAATACTGAGCAATATTTAGGAATCATTACGTTGGCAATTAAACATATATGGGATATTTATTTTCAGTGGTGTTTGTCGGCAAATGGTTCTAGGGAGTAGATTGGAAAATAAAAAAATCTAATAAAACCAAAGCATATATTACAATGAAATTTAAAAGTTGCCAAGGGAGTACTCATTAAAACATATATTTCCATTTAATTACAGACCTGGTTGCTTTGGAACTCCCAAATTAATACAACCTAATTTCAAAATTGCATTTTACCATCTCTAAGTTGTAAAATACCATATCATAATAGCAAATAAATATATAATAACCATTCACATCTTATGTGTAAAAAAAGTATAGGAGCATTAAGCATAGGAGCCTGGTTTTAATTTATGTTAACATATCTACTGCAAGCTGTAATGGGAGTGCTGGAGAATTAAAATTGGTCAGCTGCTTAGTGGCTTCTTAAAATAGATTTCAAATGCCGCAAACTAGATCTTATAAAATATCTCAAAATCTAAGACTGTTGTGTGGAACAGTTAAAAATGCATTTGAAAAAAAAAAGCTGTACTTTTCTCCATTTTTACCAACGCCACAGTTCAGCTGAAGAATGAAATAGTTATGTCACACAGTATTGACGCCTGAGGCAAACTAAGTGAAATTTGACAAAATTTGCCACTAAAGCGACTAAGCTAAATTCGGTATATAGTGAGTTCATTGTGAAAATACACAGCAACAATATCACAATCATCATTACAAAAGGAGGCAGTGTTATTAATAATTTATAGCCTTTAAAAATACTCCCTCCCTTTCACATCCATACACTCCTACGTCAACAGCCCCCACTCCCCCGCCAACTTTTCGCCTCTCAGTGTGAATGTAATGTAATTATGGATGGTCACCAACCAATCCTATTTCTGTGTCCATTCCCTGCCGGATGTAGGAAGGAGCTTAAACTAACCCAAAAAAAGTACATTTTTAAATGGTAAAAACTCCCAGAATAAATGTTCAACCCATTCCCTTAAAATCATAGTTATGGAAGGTCTCAGCATACTCTCGTAAAAGACATTTCATATTCGTACAGCGTAATTGTAAGAGAAACCAGGTCTGTAATTTTTTAAAATTGAAATTTAGTAAATAATTACTTTACTCTTGAATTTTCTAAAAATATTTTTTTGTCTTTGGTAATTATATTGCATTTATTTTGAAAAAAATGGCATACCGGTATCTTAAAATTGAGTTACAATGCCTCCTTCAGATTTCTCATAAATCAAAGGACTTTTTTTTAATAAAAAGTGAAGTTACTTTTTTTTAAAAACAATTAGAAATAAATCCGGTACTCACACCCCATTAGTGCACTAAGGGGCCACACAGCTATAATGTTCTTATGACTTACTATATTCTCATAATGGTTGGATACAAGGGTTTCATTATTAATTTCTAAAAATTCTACTCAGCACCACAATATATGTCAGATTGACAAAACTCAGATTATGCACAAATAATAATAGAACTATTTAATTTTTTATGTTATGCTAATTACCACATTAATTTAGCATGTAAAAGCAAGCAGCTAATAAGACTCACAGAGAATACAAATGTTATGTAGAAGAAAAAGGCTATTTTTATTAGGTATGCTAGAGTTGCGTTCTTCAGAAAAAACACTTGAAATAAAACGTTGTGTAATTTAACTCTTGTCCCATAATTTTGATAACTTATTCAAAGCTACAAAATAAAGTTCAAGTTAAAAAGTAATACTTATTTATTTTTATTTTTTTTTTTAATTAGAAATGGTAATCTAATTACTCCAAAATATCATTTACTATATATAAGTGCAAATTAATATTTTTATAAAGCATAAAATGTGTGTTAAAAGTAGTATTATTATGTATCACAATTAAAATCTGACCTATTTTTTTGTCTAAATCAACATAGTTTGAGCTGATGGCTAACAGTTGGCACTATGTTTCATCTTTTTTTTAGTCTGATGTACAAATGAATGATTGGTACTGGGGGGATGTCATGTGATGCTGGGGTCAGCCAAAGTTCAACTGTTGAATCTGAAACGGAGCAAGTTAAAATGCTGACGACCTTCACTAACACCGATTACAATCACTCCAAGCAAGAAAACATAGTTTCCGCTTGCCGATACATTCTTCAATGGTTTAAACAGTAGCATAACTTTTATAATAAGGTAATAACATTTATAAACAGCCACATTTTTTTAAAAATCCTAATGCGTACATTGCAAACACTTTCATTCATCCTGCTTTAGGACAATTGGCCAGTGACACTGAATTTGAAGATTCTCAGGCAACAATTTTACCTGTCCAGGTGTATAAGTTGTTGTGTATATAACATTTTGTTGTCCATTCTGATCTGTGAGCATGGTACCAGACAAAGGCGGCTGTAGATGAGCTGAAAACCAAACAATGATAATATTTAATTTAACTTTATTTCATACTCTCTAAAAGACAATGAAGTTCAAAGTTTTCTCTCAGAATACAGACAACAGATCGTCCCCTTAGAATAACAATGTTCTAAGTTGATTGGATTAAATAGGCACATAGAACCTTGTTATTCTAGGGGGACGAGATATGACTTAAGCAGCTAGGAGATACAATCATCCTTGTACTGCATACGTAATAGTTTGTTGTTGTGTTTTAGCCTCTAATTCAGGATACTTGAATGTCCTTAACATATTGTTATGTAGGACACTTCTCCCCATGCGTGAACTTTGCTTGACCCCAAATTAGATTCCTAGCAGACGCTACGTTTACAAATGGGTGTGGCTTAGTCCTTTGATCTGTTGTGTTTACTGCCGACTACCAATTAAACATGGTTAGTTTGTCTCCTGGTATCTTGTGGAACTTTCTCGATTTGACGAGAAACATAAACAATGTCAAAGGCGTTTCTGGACTTGTCGGTAGACCCACTATATAAATAAAGGGTTTCAGAGATTCACGGAGATTCATATAGATATTTTTAACTTTACGAGACAAGTGTTATTATTCTTTGTGTACTCATATGTGTTTATTCGCATTCGTCATTCTACATTATTAATTAGCACATTGTACTAACTGTGTACCGGTACAAGATCTAACATACTCCGTAAGTTGATGATTTGTAATTATATTTCTTTTGTTTTGTAATTATTAATACTTAAATAAATATTATTAATTGTAATTAGTACTGTTTTGAGTGTCGTATTTTTCTATTGTATTTCTCTATAGTATCGTCCTTTGTTATGCACTGCTTGAACGAGCCATACAATTAAAATAAGAGATTAAGATCTCACTATAGAGGGCAGTGCTTAACAATATCAACAACGCTCATTGTCAAGAAAAGTCAGATTTTTCTACAGCTCAAAACAAAACATTATTTCATTAAGTGTTGATTCATTAGAACTGTATTTTGAAAAATCTAAGAGAAAACAAGAAAAAAGTTTGAAATTTTGAATATCTTAATGATTTAGATGGAAGTTTTAAATTAAAAAACTGTTGTTACATACCAATACTAAGCACTTCATCAGCTGAGAGCTCATCATTTGTATCTGTTCCTTGCAACGTTCCTACACTTTTTTCTCCTTTAGAACACTAAAATGGTATTTTTTTAAAGAAGAAACTGTTAAAAAAGCTAGTACTTCACCATCTATCAGCAAATATGAATGGCATAATTCAATTCGGTATTTTTAAGAGGACGAAAATCGATTGAAATATAATCTGAACATCAGTACACAGGCTACTGTGTAAACATCAAAATAAAAACTTAACTCAATAACAAAGCAACATATACAACTCAATTACTGTGATTTTATATAAATGTTTTATAGGCTCTACCTTAAACCATTTATAAAATGTATCAATGTACTTGAATAAATTGTTTTGCTTTTACAAATCTTAATAGTTTTACAAACCTCTCTATATTTCTGAAGATAAAGTTTGAGGGGTTCAACATAATTATCAAACCCTAAAGTTGACATGGCAAATAATATGTCCTCTCCATTGATGGTTTTTCTTTTCTCTTGATGGCATCTCTCACTGGCTCTGATATTTTATTAAGCAATGAATCATGGCAAGATTTTTTTTAATAACGTTTCTGAATAAACATATTGGTCTAATGTCAATTAGATAATATTTCATTTTAATGCAAGCATAAAAATAAAGGTTTTTCTTTTATGTCTTAATTTAATTTTATTTTAATACATCCTTGTCTGATATAAAAGTGTAAGCAATGAGATGGTATTTAAAGGATTTGCTCTTGCACACAGACGAGTTATGGGAAAAAGGGATTTACCATTTTAAGGTTCCAAAGTCAATGAAGGGCTGAACACATTGACCTTAATTTCAATAATTAACAATTTTTTTGTAGGAACATCTAAATATTTCAGAGACCATCAGTATTTATATTATTTTAAATTTGTAAAGGATACTCGCTGGTGATAAAACTGATGAACTCTGACACACACTCTTGAACACATTCTTTTGCATCTTTGGCAATCTGCGATGAAAAAATGATAGTGAAGAATTATTTGATGATACGAATCGATGCAATATATTATGGACCTCTGACAGGTCTAAAAATTAAAAATGGCCTTAACAGACCTGCCAACCTAACAAAAAAAAAATCTGTAGAGAGGGGTTGCATGCAGGGGGAAAGGGGGCTGCTGACCCCCAGGGACCGTATTGGGGGGGCTGACCCCCAGGGACCGTGTCGGGGAGGGGGGGGGGGCGTTGCTTTAAAGATCTATAAACTAATGCACAAGCCTTTTTTTTTTATAGTAAATAAAGAAATATTAAGTTACTTCCATTGTCTTTGAAGAGTCCACAGAGCATGAGAAAAACATTAGGGGGGGGGGGGGCCCCGGGGGAGGGGGGGGGGGGGGGGGGGGGGGCGTTGCTTTAAAGATCTATAAACTAATGCACAAGCCTTTTTTTTTTATAGTAAATAAAGAAATATTAAGTTACTTCCATTGTCTTTGAAGAGTCCACAGAACATGAGAAAAACATTACTGAAAATGTTTATATACAGTACAGGACAGAAGATCCATTTTATTTACATATGTACACAGGCAGCTAAGAGTTCAGTCTTCCAGCATATCCCTTTTTGCACTTGTCCAACAGCTCTTTGGTTGGACAACTGAAGGTTAGCATTGCCTTGCAATTGATTTTACAAGCAAGTTAGAAAGAGTATCAACTGTCATGCTTGCCCTTGTTTCATTGTAATTTTGCTTCACAATCTTCTAGCAATATGCGAGGCTGAAAACATTTCTTTGACTCTGGCATTAAAACGATAGGATTCCTTAGCAAAAAAACTTTTAATTAGACATGGATTACTTTTACTTTTAGCTGCAGTTTTATGTTTTTTGGGGTTAAAATATGTTTATATGCTTATCAATACCATTGTACCCACCACTTTCAATAGATTTAACGAATTAATTAAGAAAAGCTCTAACAAAAAAAAAATTCGGAAATGTTTTTTAGCCTTGTAAAAGGATGAATCACGATCGCAATAATTGATGACTGAAGAATGATTTGAAGATCACGGTTCGCTTCAATAAAAACAAGGCAGTGTGTACACGTCAGGCAACAAATAGTGCGGGAGATGTTCATCCGGCTGGCATGTCACACTTTATAAAAAACAATGTCACTTTTTAACCAATTGTTCATTAAATATATATCAGCAATGGTTCTAGTATTTCTTTTGTAGAATTGCTTACTTTTTCATGTAAGTGTCCAGACTATTTTGAATTTGTTGAAATGAAGTACTGTAAACTCTGATAGAAAATTAGCGGCCACATGAGAAAGCTGACGGACAAATATCTCGCACAACTTTGCTACGCTGTCATGTGATTTGGTCAAATATAAAGTGGCTTGGCGAATATTTCGAGAACTTATTCACTTATTTGTCCGGTCGCCGGACTTAAGGACACTTCGTAAAAAGAAATGCAACACTTCTGGTTTTTCTTGGTCCCTTTCAGATTTTTACGACTGATGAAAACTTATAAAGTTCTAAAAATCTGAATTTTAAGGGGTTTGTCGGAAGGTCGGAATGAGGGGTAAAAAATCCATATCATTCCGAAAAAATCGGAAGGATTGGCAGGTCTGCATAAATATTACCACTGTAATAAAAAGTGTAATGATTGTCTGATATAACAGTTCGAAGTAATATTTAAAAAAAAAAAAAAACATTAATATAATTAGCTCAAAATATTTACCTCATTATTATATCATAGTTTTATTTTAAAATATTGTTTACCTCTATTTTCTCTTTAGCACATACCTTTCCTGTTGATGGCACAGCTTTTTTCATTATTCTAGCAACATTAGCAATAGGTAGGAATCTATCCTAAAATATATAATTTATACATATAATATTTAGTATTGTACTGATGAAGTTGAGGTGCGATAACATAAAATAAATTGAAGGAAATATTTTTCTTTAAAGCTTAATTATTCCAATCGAAGTTTAATTTTTTTTAAAATATGTCTTAAGTTTAAAAAAAACAAAAAAACAATGCTCATGAGAAATGCAAGTAAACCAAGTGCCCAATATTATCTAATTTTTATGTTGATATTCTGCTTTCACTTAAGGCAAACTGAAAGGCCTGAGAGAGCCTCTAGTTAACCTATTATATACCCAAGTGTACCATGTCAACATCACAATCTCCTGGTCATATACTTTATAATAATACTTTATAATAATCCCAAATATTCCCCAACCCCTATATTCATAGTCTTTTAACTTCCAAAAATAAAAAATAAAAAGGTACAGACAGTCTCAAACATCAAAAAGTCTTTATGATAGTTTCTCAGAATATAATTTGAATCACACCATAAATAATAATAATAATACTGATGATTAAAATTTGTATTTTAAAGCTTTTATTTGATAAATGATGGCACAGCAGTGACAATGGAAACTTTGAAGTTGAAGGTCAATTACAGAAGCATTTTTGTTAGCTAGGGTCCAACAAACATTTTTTTAAAACAATTTAAAAACTGAAATGTACCTGCTCCCTGAGGGGTTCATCTGCCGGCTTCTCATCCTCCATATCAGGTGAGCCCAATACACCATTTTCTGAGTGGATACAAAGTAAATTAACAAAGAATTAAAATGTGTACATAAATACATGAGAAAATTAGATATGATTAAAGATTATCTTAAAGGAATTTTTATTCATTGGATGATCATCTAACTTTGTGTAAATGCATGATTATTTTTTAAACAAAAGAGTTTTACCATTAAATAAATTTCTGTAAAGTCATAATTTCTGGTCCAAATTTATTCATTAGAGTCTAAGATTAAACTTCCAAAATAGTTACTAACCCTACCCATGAATATTGCTACAGTAATTTATCACAATCATCTTTACATGTATCTCATGAAGATAAAAAATGCAAATGCAGAGTAATCTATATTTTATAAACAGCACAAGCTTAGACAAAAATTATGCTGGATATTTTCTTTTAATGTTTTTGTAACTACCAGAACATTATAGCCAAAGTGGCATCAATATTAGTAAAATTGAATCCCATTTAAACAATGAGATGATTTGTTGGGATTTTGCTTCTTCTCTTTCCAGCAGTTTCATTATATTGAGAAGTGGTGGCTCGTACCATTGTCAACATCATATCCTCCTTGTGCCATTAGAGGCTCTAGATGGGCATCCTCACTACCATCGTGACTGTCATTCATCATTGAAAAGTTGTGAGAGGAAATCTGAAAGCAATGACAGAAGGCTTGGTACAAAATGTGCATTCTAGATCCAGTTTGATTTAAGTTGAAAAAAGATGCCTGTGACGATTTGACATTCAAAAGGTATGTCAAGTTGATATATAAAAAATCATTAAAAACTTTATCTACTATGTAAAGGGAGAAGTGTGTACCCGGTATATGTAATGAAAGTTTAGTACAACTCGATATGAGTTATGACATGATCATAATATATCATATAAATATACAGCGGCAAACCTAAAGGTAAGTTCACACTGCAGATTTGTCACTTGGATTCTCAACTTTCTGTGACCCCCATGCTACTCGCAACAGAAATGGGGCAACCACGTTTCAATTTCACTGGTTTTTGGACTGTTGCAGTATATTGTCTGCTTGCATTATACAGAAACAAATCATATTTTTATCAATGTACTTGTGTTATCATCAGCTAACAGGTTGAGTAGCATAGAAACCAGTAAAAAAAATATGGAGTGATCATAAAAAAAGTGATGAATTTAATATCATCTGACTTGTATACAAATGTTGTAATTGATAGTAGCCATATTTTGTAGTTTGAATCTAAAACATTTTTATACAAATTTCAAGTTGGATTTTATTGCGTGGATAAGAAAAGATTTTACAGGAACATACATTTTTTTTTTTAAATGGAATTAATTGAAGATATTTTTTTTTCCATTTTAGGTTTTAATTTTCCCAAGCATGGGTGGTTATTGGTAAAATTATAAATTAAAAAAGCAGAATTTATTCATTTAAATCGGCGGTCTGCGACCTTGTTAAGCCATGATCCCAAAATATATCTGTTTCAGCCAACTTTCCCCCCAGGATTTGAAAAGAATAAAATAATATAGATTATTCAAAAGCAAAAGGTTTAGAGTATCTATTTATACGGTTAATACAATTAGAAATATAAAGAGTATAACACAAATATAAAAAAGATAACAAAATCCTCATCACGGAACTAAAAGACTTTTTATTCAACTTTTTTTTTTTACTTCAGAATGGAGAAATGATATTTCATGTTTGATAAAATAACATCAAAATTGGTGGTGTCGTCCACGCCATATGCTCATAAAATCATATTTTATTAAATGTAATTACTTAATTCAAAATTCATGTGTTTTGTTTTATTAAACATTGTATTGGGGGTTGTTAGTTTAGGGTTGTTGCACATTGTCCATGTACAAGCAAGACCAGTTTATTCTTTTAAGAGAACTTTTTAATAAGGCAAGTTAGGGACCTATAAATATCATCTAAATATGTCAGGCTCTGGTAGTTTAGCCCTTATGACTCATTCTCACTTTTACAAGCAAGTTTTTTCTATCCTCAATCGTTTTAAGGGAACGTTTTAGTTAAAGACCCATAAATGATAAATTAAAATGCCTGGTTCCGGTAGTTTATACCTCATTTTCAAAAGTCTAAGTCACTTTAAGGGGAGACTAGGGTGAGAAATTGGCAAATTTTGAATATTTTTTTATTATTGCTTATTTTTTTTTATTAACCATTTCTTGATTCAATTTTTATATTTGTTTTTACAATAGTAAGTTAGGAAATAAAATAAATTACAAGTTTCCTGACCCTATCAATCAGAAAAATGTCAAAATCGACCCATTTTAGAGTCTTTTTACCCCTTTGTAATGAGTATTTGGAATAGCCCAATCCCAATGTATTTGTTATGGATGGAAAGATGGTGATTTCCGGTTCAAGATAAATATAGCTCATCGTCATAAAGAAAATTACGAAAGCAACCGATCCTTTTTATCGCCGGTAATGTCTATCAAAATTTGGTATTTTCCTGTCCTACTTCTTGTATCATTTGATCTAGCCCTGAACTTTGAATAAAACAAGCATTTTGATTGGTTCCTGTGTAGGAACTCTGTTTGTAATAACTACTTCTGGTATAAACTAATCCTTGCTAATTTCGTGAGGCCTAGCAATTTCGATATCATATTATACGTAATTTGTTGCAAATAAAAACATTTGAGGCAGTAAAAAAAACTAAATAAGTAAATAACCAAGCAAAATGAGTTGGCGTTGATTAATTGCCATGAAAAACATGATTAATTCTACTTCTCCTTTTTTGGAGAAGATTAAGACTGAGTACACTAAACTACTAAAACTAAAGACTCCTACTCCTAGTCACTTCATCAAGTTCAAGCACCGCTACGCTACTTCACTAGCAGGAAGAAGATAGAAAAATACCATGCTAATAATAACGGTAAGTCTTCAAATCTCTTTTCAGTTATGGATGTTCCATTAATTATGTAAACAAAGGTGAGGGGGGGAGGGTTGGGGGGTGGTTTAAAATAGTTGATGTTAACAATCATGTTTTCTTTATTTAACTTTTTATTTTAACAATTGACTTTATTACATCATTTTAACAAATTTATTTAGGGCAAATTAAAATATTTATGTAATTTTTAGTTATGTAAAATGTCAACTTGTTAATTAACAAGTTAAAGATAAAATAAAATATTTTTATTTACATTATAATTCATGGGGGGGAGGGGGGGGGGTTATAGAAATGTTGACATAATTACTTTTTTTGGGGGGGGGGCCTCAAAAATTGATTCAAAATTGTTGACGTAATTAATGGACGCCCCACTTAGATTCAAATTTAAAGTACAGTATCAATTATTCCTAAGGCTAAACCTATGCTGTAGACCAGTGGTCCCCAAATGGCTGTCCATGGACCTTCACCGGTCCGCATGCCATACTCTGCCGGTCCCCATAACATAAATATTTATTGTCAAATAGAAATAAAAGTATAAAAATAAATCATGCACCGGTCCCTGGTAAAATTTTGAAACTTGTTCACCGTTCCGCCAAACTTAAAAGTTTGGGAACCACTGCTGTAGACGATTGAATGAAGCCTTATACTTTTACTTTTTTATTATTAGTAAACACTATTTTAGTTTAGTGATAGTGGTAAAAATAAAACCTAATAAACAATTGATGTATTTATTAATTGTGATATTTGACTTACATTGTCTTATATTTATAGCTATTAAAATGGTAATATTTTTAATTTATCATTTTTTTTATCGCAGCACAAATGACATTGTCATTGGTGTTATTTTATTCTGAAGTAAAATAAGAGCCCTAAAAAATTTTGTGTGAAATACTTGTCAACAAGTATGACCTATCTGTAACTAATGTCCTTATAGCCTTATATTTTTGTTGAGAAGAATTTAATTAAAATATCTAACGACAAGTTTATTGTTTTCAGGAACGATTGAGGAGACGTGCAATGAGTTTGCAGAATACACCAGAACACAACACGCATTATATTTCCTGTTGATAAACTACACTGATCTGTTGTTCCTTAGTCCATTTAGCCCTAATGACAATTTGTACATGAAAAAGGAGTGCCCTAAGTATGTATTCCAATTGTTACAGATTCCTCTTCGCAACATATGTTTGATGCATAGAAATAAAAGTAAACTCAGGCAGATGATGCAAGAGAAGACTAACACAGATTACATCACAAGGCTCATCATGTGTTATTCAAGGACAAAAAGAATAAGACTGCAGTTAGAAGGAACATCAATAATTCCCTTGTTTCAATATGTTATCTGTATGTGATGTGATTTTCAACATGATTAGTGTTAAAATTTGATACAGTAACTAATTAGATTTTACAATGGAGTTATTGCTCATGAGTTTTCTGGCTCACACAAAAAACATGTTAATATGCTTTGGGTAAAAATACATTCAAAAGTTGTGAGATAGAAATCAGAAAATTTACAACAGTCAATATTCATTGTGTTATTAGAACTCATAGATATTACAATTTTTTTTTAAAGACCAAGAGTTGCATTTTCAGCATACATGGAGAATGCTGAATAACACTTTGGAATTGCACTTTACATAGCTTAGTTTTATGGTTTTTCACACTTTTATAATTTATAATGCTGAAATTCTCTAAAGTAAGCGAATTATTATTTTTTCAACAAAAACAGAATAATAGATAAAAATACAACAATTGCAGTCATTCAGTGAAAAGTTGAGTGATCAGGAAAAAAAGACAAAAGGACCTGGAAAAGGATTTAAAGAATGTCCACTTTAGGCTAATAAAAACTTTTGGCTAATGTTGAGCATGAATGCCATGGCGTCATTTGCTTTTTTATTATAGTTACAGTGAATTAGGGTTTAGGTTAGGTTAAAGGATCGATTTAGGGTTCAGGTTAGGCATAGGGATCCATTTAGGGTTCAGGTTGGCATAGGAATCGATTTAGGGATACATTAGTGACAGAATTAACTAGTTGTGTCAACCAAGATGGCGCCCATCCATAAAATAGTGGCATTCATCCTCAACATTTACCAAAGTTTTCATTCCAATCTGTATAATCTGAATAAAAATTTCTTATTTTTCATTTGATATTTTCATTGTTTTTGTCGTTTTTCTTCATTATTTCAGTTTTCTCATTTTCAATATTTTTGGTCACCAATATCCCTATAACTTTTTTATTTATTATCCGAACCTCACCAAATTTTCACAATATCTTCAGTGACCAATAATAAACATTTTAATAACCTAGAATTAAGATATCTATCTGAGAAAAGAAAATATGTAAAAAAGAATTTACCCACACCCCTATTTTTTGCTTTAAAAAATGGGGTCACAATTTGTGACCCTGTTGTTGATTTAAAACTAGTCCTTACATCAAAAAATCCTGTTACACAAAGTTTTATTATAGGTTAAATAATCTATGTTTAAAATCTGATGGCAATAACTTAATATTTGTAAAAGTAAAAGCCTTAGCCTTAGTGTTTTAAAAAAAAAACTTTAAAAATAAAAATGGCGGAGGTTTTTATGGGTTACAAACGCAACCAATGGAATTTTTTTTTAGGCAGTGTCTACACGTCCGGCGCGCCGGACGTCTATCTCCCGCACTATTTGTCCGGCGACCAAGTCACATGACCGCCGTAACAAAGTGGCGAGAGATATCTTGTCGGTCAGCCTTGTCACGTGAATAATTCAAAACTATTGTTAATTTTAAAATCTATTTCTCTACCAAGTAATGTACTGAGTATCTTGAATGCAAATAATAGAAAGAAAAAAAACTTAAGTGAAAGTGGCTTGTAAACATTTTTGTTTAGTTTCTTATTTGTGTTTGTGTACCAGTAATCCATAAAATAAATTTGGGGCCAGTGTGGAGTAGCCAACCAATAAAAGTAAAAGATTTCATTTTAAATTGTTTCAATTGCTACAAAATATTTAAAAACTTCTCATGAAACTACTGTTGCTGAGGAACATGATAATATAAATATATACAAAATATTTTGAATTAAAATGGGGGAAAAAAAACGACCCTATCCCCGGTATAGATCCTCAAAGCTTCCTTTCGTCAAGCAACCACTCTACCACAAGCCCACACAAGATGTACCAAATTATACTTCGTTTGGAATTATAAAAACTACTAGCCGTCCGGCCACGTCCGGCGGTCATGTGACAAGCCGCCGGACGTATATCTTGCGCACTACACGTCCGCGCCGGACGTGTAGGCACTTCGTTTTTTTTAAACCTGTTTTGTACCTCCAATACTCATGACAGTACCAAATAAGGTGTAGGTAAAAAAAGATCCTATATGATTCAATATGAAGCCAAACAAACATTTTAGATTTTTCACCCACACCTCCCCTTAACCTACAAATTTTGCACTTCGCTTATATTTTATAAATTATGAATATGGGCTAGATATAATAGGCTTCTACTACTATTAGTAGCAGTAATATGTAATTAGTAGGGACTAAGCCACTAACTTTTTCACCAAGGCCTAAAATTGTAACTATACTATACTTATACTATATTATACTATAGAACAGCGCTAGGACTAGGATACAAAATGAAAATTAAACATCAAATAAAAGGGTGAGTGGGAGGTTAAACAGTCAGAGTGTGGAGCAACTTTTCTGACTTTAATAAAAAATATTGTTTTTACATTTTAAAGAATCTTTCACTTTGACTGAAGACTAACTCCAAGTCAACATGTCAACGCAGTTTTAAAAACTACGGGAATTCTGCGAGTGAGTCTTTGTCATTGTGACTGAGTGAGTCGTCGACGTCAGAGAAGTTTAACTACAACCAAGTCTGTGTTGCAGTCGGCCATTGCGGCTTTGTTCAGATTTGTTTATTTCGGGGTAGCGATGGCGGGTCAAACCGTGAACGAAAAAGTTAAGCGCGATAAACATATTCTCATTTACCATTTTGGGCGTTTTACGATTCTATAGCATAGAGTTCGCACGTGTAATCCATTGGCTACATGGATAATAACAACAAACCTCGTTGATTGAGTAGATTTGGGGAAATTGGTTGGTCAATCAAGAACCAGTGAAATTGCAGCAACTCCAGCCATTCAGCGAACAATGTCGTCTACATTACTATTCCAATAACTTTACATTCATTAAAAAAATACGGTAGTAATAATTAGTATTCAATTATGATGCATATTTTAAATAAATAATATTAATTAAAGAAGCAACAATGACAAATTATATATTTTTTTAATAAATCATTTCAATTGATGTGTAAAAATTAATAATAACACAAGAAATAAAGAAATAACCATCAGATAAAGGGGTGTAAATGTAATTTATAGAACAGCAAGGTTGACCTAGTTTTGCTAAGGAGATGTGTCTCTTAGTCAATGGTTTTAACTGGCAAGTTGTAGCCAACCTTGGAATCTTATTTTAAAACACAATTAATTTGTTGTTGTTTTGGTTTTTTAATGTCATAACAAGTAAATTTAATAATTCCCTCACACTTTAAAGATGTATAATTACAACATTGTTAGGGGACTTCAGCCTTGAACAGTGCATTAGAAATATACCCAGGTATATTCAGTAGGCTAAAATAATATTAATGAAGCAAAAGTGTGCGTTTGTTTTAATTTAAATAATTGAAAGACCAATCTGGAAAATTGGTTGCTACATATATTACATCCTCACTTTTAACAATATTTGCCTATTATGTGTCTAAAATATGAGTTATCATCCACACAATTTAGCCAATAAAAACAATGTTCGTTCATAACTACTTGTAGTTTCATTTTTTTGTTTTAATATGTATGCAAAGGAAGCCATTGCCCATTGCCATAAGTGTAAGCCATAGAAAACCTAAAAAGCTTTTTATGTTTAGATATTTTATTAATTTAAAAGAACACAAAGAACTTAAATAATTAAAACTTGCATTATTTAAAAGAAAAATATTCAATCATAACTTTAAATGACATGATGTTTTATTTTTAGATAAAGTTATGATGATTATATCAGATGAGATATAAGTATAAGTTAAATTTAAGATGAAATGTTTACTTTAAGTTTCAAATTACCAAGATTATAATTCTCAATACCTATATATGCACTCATAGGTGCGTTTTAATTAAATCATAGTATTATCTTATATTTAATATTTTTAATAAATTATCTGTATCTTTTGATATTTAAACTTTAATATAAAGCATAGGCATAAGTTTGGTGGTATGAAATAAACTTCAATGAAACTTTGAAAGCATTTAAGATAATTTTTATAATGCTTATAAATTTAGGGTTCATCTTTTATGTCAAATAATACAGGATTTTTTAAATATTGAATTGCATTTTACGGATTGCTACCTTATCATTTAATTTCTTAATATACCATGAAGGTTTGACGACAATCCCGTTTTTTTTTTTTAAATAATAATTTTACAACCCGCGCAAACGAACGTCAATGCCCAAAATATTTATTTCTCATATTTCTTTAATTTACACAAATACATTTTAATGTCTAAAGGAATTGTAAACAATTAGTAAAATTTAATATAATAATACAAACAGTAATTTAAAATTTATAAGTAGGCTATTCATTTTGCATTCACGTGCTTATAAACCTGGTCAAAGATGGAGACGTGCTTAGAAATGGAGTAACAGATGATACTGACAGGGATCTAACTTAAGAAGCATAATATTTAAGACTCAAGCTCCTTAGACGTTGAAATTAATTTCTCATACCTGGTTTTGTGAACTTAAAATGCATTTAACGGTTAAAATTTTAAATGGGGAAGAATGCACCCTAGCGGTAAGTTCGCTGGTTTTCATTGATGATAATGATTGTTTTTCTTCACCCAGCCTCAGATATTTGACTTCTTTGGAGTTTTTGTACAATATTTAGTTAGTTATTTCATTTGTAACCTAAACTTAATTTGCACCCTCACTGGGATAGTAGTGGTTAGACTTAGGTTAAGTCTATAATCTATTAATTAGGCATTAGATGATAGCTACTAACGGCAAAAGCCTTAAAATAAGACTCACAAGATTATTCAACAATTCAAGATTTCTTCTGAAGAAGGCTTTTAGTTTTAGAAGGGGTAGTAAGCCCTAGCCCTAGGTAGTGTAAGCCTTGGCTTGGCACTATACTATACATTTGAAGGCAAAGCACACTTAGGCCTATGCCTATTTCACGTAAACTTACATTTTTTATTAATTTTTTTTTTTATTTTGAAAATGGCAGTGTCTACACGTCCGGCGCGCCGGACGTCTATCTCCCGCACTATGTGTCCGGCGACCAAGTCACATGACCGCCGTAACAAAGTGGCGAGAGATATCGTGTCGGTCAGCCTTGTCACGTGACTGCGAATAATTCAAAACTATTGTTAATTTTAAAATCTATTTCTCTACCAAGTAATGTACTGAGTATCTTGAATGCAAATAATAGAAAAAGAAACTTAAGTGAAAGTGGCTTGTAAACATTTTTGTTTAGTTTGTTATTTTTTGTGTACCAGTAATCCATAAAATAAATTAGGGGCCAGTGTGGCAACCAATAAAAGTTAAAGATTTCATTTTAAATTATTTCAATTGCTACAAAATATTTAAAAACTTCTCATGAAACTACTGTTGCTGAGGAACATGATAATATAAATATATACAAAATATTTTGAATTAAAATGGGGGAAAAAAAACGACCCTATCCCCGGTATAGATCCTCAAACATTCCTATCGTCAAGCAACCACTCTACCACAAGACCAGACAAGATGTACTAAATCGTACTTCGTTTGGAATTATAAAAACTACTAGCCGTCCGGCCATGTCCGGCGGTCACGTGACAAGTCGCCGGACGTGTATCTTGCGCACTACACGTCCGGCGCCGGACGTGTAGACACTTCGTTTGAAAATAATTAAAATTCTTTTCAATCTTTTGTGTAACCAGGTATTTTGTGTATGTCCTGTAAATGTCTCAGTCCACTGCAGGTACTGTCCTTTACTACAAATCCTAAAAACATTGTATCCCATTGACCATTGGATATAAAATTAATGCACCTGTAACAGAAATATTTCTCTAGAGAAGTGGTTCTTAACCAGGTGTGTTGGAATGGTGCTGAAGACTCAGAAAATTGTATTTGCTTCCATTGCTAGTTGTTGCTGCCTTTAAAAAATAATTAATTTTTTTTGCATTCGTAAAAGTGAATGTCCCCTAATGTAATGTTCATAATTTTTTTGATTGTGGGATGCTCTGCTCATAGTATTCCGGTTTATATGCAATAAATGGTTCTTGCACTAATTTTTGTCAGTTCTTCAAATCTTCACAACAGGATGTGCTTATAAATTAGTACAAATATCCTTGTCCAGCTAATGTCCCAGCTTACCAGAAGCCTCTGTTTACCTATTATAATACAGTAACTAGAACTGTATTAAATATTTTAATTATTTACCAGGCCTCACCTAGCAGTCTTGTTAGTGATGTTAAAGAACAAGTAGAAGCCTTATTGTCTATACCTGTTGCAGACCAAAAGTTACTCTTTAAAGGGAAAGCACTACAAGGTAAGATTTTATCTTTCAATTTAATATAATCATTTAGACAAGGGTGGGTAGATTGGTGGACTTTACACTAACTTACAGGTGTTTACTTTTTAACTCTAACAAATTCATTTTATATTAAAATTATTAATTGCACACAAACAACTTTTTTCAATGTGAAGCTATAAATGGCCCTTTTGGATTTTTATATTATTAATTTCTGATTTTTTAAAACACCAAACATAAAATTATTTTTTACTTCAAAATGATTATTTATGAATTTATTATCTAATATGGCAGGGTTTTTTGTGTGTGGTACCATATTTTGGCAGGGGTTTTTGTGTGTGGTGCCATATTTTTTTACCATCTGGTTTTTTTTTTTATATACTGTTTTATTTTGATTTGCAGTTGTAGTAGCAAATTCTTTTTTCACAAAGTTGTGTGCAACCCTACTCTACTGTATTGAGATTATTCTGTGCTAACTAATATTTTGAATATACATGCTATTTTCAGATACCAAGCCTTTAAAGGATTATGGAGTAGAAGACAGTGGTAAAATTACACTTGTCATAAAAAAGTCCATGCTAAAACCGACAGATCCATCCAATACACCACAAAAATTTCATCCAGCTGAACCAGAACGACCAGTTTGGGATAAATTGCGAGTATTTCTTCAAAGACATTTTAGGGATAGAGATGTAGAGGTTGTGTTGCAAGAATTTAAAAAGGTATTTTCTTTTTCACTTTATTCGTCAAATGTGATCCCTCGCTTTACACTTATAATCCTTGTTCTCCTTCCTTAAAATTGCCCTTAACTTCAAAGATTTATACTTGAACAAATTTTATTATGACCTAAAATTTGAAGTTTTTTTTTTCCTTAATCATTCTCCAGTCGATTCTTGTGAAATAAAATGATTTTTTGTTATAGTTATTCTAAAAGTCTTGTACCCGGTACCTAAATATAAATTTTAAGGCATTTTACTTTTCATCTAGATAACATAATTTCTCAAATCAAAACCTATTGTAAGTTATAAAAAACGAATAACTTGGAGACTAAAAGCTTTAAAGCCACGGTTCTTTGCTGTATCATTTTCCCCCAAAAACGTTAGTCTACAAGTTCTTTGTGACCATTTTCTCATAACAAATATCACTGCTCTGAATTATTCCACTATTTGTAATTCAGACCTTAAGTTTTTAAGGTTTATTTAACCTGTCCTCACCTTTTTCAATCTTAATTTTTTTAAAGAGTTATATTATTAACTTATTGAGAAAGAGTGCAACTAAATTAGTGTATTGTACATGTTAACGTCGGGGGAGGGGGCTAGAAAATAACACTGATATTTAAGAAGAAGATTGAAGTTGCTAACAAGGGAGAAGATTTTAATACCATTGTTAAATGTTTTATGATTATAATTTTTTTTGTAGGAATTTGAAAGAAATCTTTCCAATCTAAGTTTGGATGATATAGAAAGATTAGCCATCACAAAGTTACGTCAAGTATGATAGTTCTACAACCTAGCAACACACCATTTGACTGCAAATGGAGTACAGAAAATGCTTTGAAGGGTTGGCTGCCTTGGTTAAAACTAATGCAAGCAGCAACTCTGCCACTTTGGTAGACCATCATTCATTTTCGAGTGCAAGATCCTCACCCTCAGCGTCATCGTCTTTAAGTGTCATGCAATTGGCTGCCTAATTCAAAACAATGTGACTGTTTACGAAAAATATTCCCATCACAGGCAAATGTTAGTTCTTATCTATGTGTTTTATTTAGGAATGCTCATTATATTGAGAAAAGGTAGGAGAGCATGTTTTGAAAGACTGCTTCAAGGAGTTGTATGTTTCTGATCATCACATGTTGTACTACATAAAAATAATATAATTATGTACTTTTTAAATATTTTTTCTTTAATCAATGAACCATTCTATCTTTCACCCAATTTCTGTACTTCACATTTGTTCCCAAAATTTTATTTACCTTGCTAATCTTATGTAGTTTGCTTTTTTTAAAAAAAAATGTTAGCGTTCAGTGCTTTTTTTGTTTTTAGCGGGTCACGCGATTTGTTTTTTAACTAATCTGTATTATGAATTTAAGAATCTGTTTTATGACCCTGAGTATCAATAAAGAAATGCTTTACAACATTTTTAAGTTTAGTTTTTAATTGTCTTACGGTACCGAAATGAATTTTGTTTCATGACTAAATCAACATAGATTATATTCAGTTAGGCTTTTGAAACAAGCAAATATAGCCTGATTATAATTATAGCAACTATTTTTTCTTAAGTACCTATTTAAAAAAAAAAAAAAATTTATATACAAATTTTTATGAAGAATATCTTTATCACTTTATTGTGGAATTGCCAATAATATTAAAATGGTAACTTTCTTTGGGGGATATTTTAAAATGGAGATAAAAAAGGGATTGTTGTTATAACTACAATAATACTACAATAGAGAAAGAATTATCTATGTTATTATTTATTTTTTGTTTTTAATTAGCTAGGATTATCTTTAATTGTTATCTAACAACCACTAGAGATTTTTTTTAAATTAATTAGATAATCATTAAAAGCTTATCTCCACAGAGATCATCACTTTTTTAGATTTCTTTCAATAGAAAAAATATAAATTGATGATTGTGTTACCCCGGCATCCACAGGTTTTTAAAATACTATAGAGCCATTAACATTCATATAAATCATTTGTATCAATAGTCAAATCCATTTGAGTTGTTACCCATCTCCTCATAGTTAATATTTCTGCCTACCAAAAAATCTTGTCTTAAAATATTTGACTGCATGAAAACAAGATAAAATCTTATTGAATGATTAAATTCCAATTGGTAAATACGTCTAGACAAAATAATATAGTTAGAATTTACTTACCTTTGTTAATTTTCTACAAATCTTTGGTTTCTATTTACCCACTTTTTATATTCTTCATGTGAGATTTTAGGTCTTTAACTTTAACTGCTTATGTTTGGTTCAGGTAGACTACACAGCTGGAATTATACAGCCTAAGTTTCAAGAGGCTCTTTTTCATATATAAACTTTAGTTGTATCCTCAATTAACCTATTCCAAAATATCTGAAATCAGGGCCAAAAAAAAGAAAAAGTGCCATTCAAAATTATGTAGGTATGCATATAAAAGCCCAACACTGTCCTATTTGCAAAGCTCAGTAATTTACTGAAAGTTTGCAAGGTAGACATCTGGAACATGTACAAAAAAAGTGGGTACTTAAATAATTTGTTAATTTTTTCTTCTGTTTTCTTCAATGTTCAAAGCACAAGAACTGATATTGTATGTCTCTACACCCTTTTATGTTATGTAGTTTTGGTTTTCTTTTTTTTTGTATTCCTCTGTTTAAATTATTTATAAAATTAATAAGATAATTTGAGCTGAATGTCGCCTTTTTGACTAGGGTATCATAAAAGTTGCTAAATGGATTATGTCCATGGAAAAATACACGTACTCAACTCCAAGGATTTTGAAGGATAACCAATCAATAACTTATTAAAAATAATCAAATTTTAAAAATGAAATGTATCCATAATTCTTAAATACATTTTTACTTGTGCATTAATATGTTTAAATGTTGTTGTTTTTTTTAAATATGCATGTTATATGTATGTATATGAAGAGTGTGATTTAAAGTAGTTTTGATATCCATGGATTATCTTCAAACTCTAGGGAGAAACAACAAAAAGGTTAAAATTTGGTTTATTCTTATCCTGTGACATGTACATTTTGTACAGTGCTGACGTTGCAATATTTAATAATTGCATTGTCCACAATTCCGACAAGTAATGTCTAAAATTTAATTTGTTTACAGTTTACAGAGCTGACTTGTAATGCTGTATTTAATAATTAATTGTTTACAGTGCCGACATGTAATGTATAAAAAATTACATTGTTTACAGTGCTTTACACATATAGAATGTTAGTTGAATAAAAGATTGAACATGTGTGTATATTGTATTTGTATTAAAATTGATTTTTAACAGATTTTGTTGGAAAATTGAAAACTTTTACTATGGAAATGTTTGTTTTTCAACACTCATGTTTTTTGTGTGTGAGTTTTTTTAAGCTGTTTGAAAATAATCAATTATTATTGAACGGATTGAAATTGAACCATCATTATCCTTTGTCATTTAGATTTTTAACTGGTAAAATACAGTTAAAAATGATGCATAATTTGTCTTTTAATATTAAATCTTAATGTATTCATCCCCCCCACGAAGTCTTTTTTTTTTCCCCTAATAAAGCATCATAATAATGTTAAAACAAACTGGAGATCTGTACATGTAGAAACAACTTTAATATGATACTTAATAAAAAAAATCTTAAACAATATTTGATTATCGGAAGTTAAATTAATGTTCCCGCTTATTAAGGAGAGAATGTTATTTTACATGCAAACTGATTCACTATTTTTTTTTTTATTTTTTTTATTAAAGATGAAGGGAAGTTACCATTTAATTTTACAACAGGGGGGGCAACCCCCCCCGCCCCCCCCCCCCCCCTGAAACGTTTCATTTGGCCTGCAGGACTTTCCAGAAACTGGATTAATGTGTCTGTCAAATGTTAAAATACTGTGAAGGATATTACCAGTATGTAAAATCTTCTGTAAACAAGTAATAAAAATATAACGCGTAAGTGTAAAATAGTTCAAACTGTAAAAAATAATAATAAATAATCACGGCAAATTAAAAAGTTATTCCACAGCTTATTTTCAAACTGAAATGGTGAGGCCCATCTTCATTGATGTATGTAACAAATACAACTCTTGATTCCCAGAAAATTATTATCTCCATGCGGCCCTCTGCACTAAAAGGTGCCCACCCCAGATTTACATGATTTGTCTGTTGCAGACAAACAAATTTTTGTCATTAGGCATTCTCTAACTACCGGTAGTCTAAGTCTAAGGAAATTAAAAAAAGAGCGAAGATGTAAATGACATGTTAAAGTTTATTTTCTTTGCAACTCCTTTTATTCCAGTCACACTTTTTTTTACTGGAGATGGAGGTAAGGATGGTCGAGTTTTTTTTTTTTACTTGAAACAATGGGAATTAACGTTTATTTACTATTATATATGGCTCAGAAAGACTTATTTAAATGGAAGGTTGCATATTACCCCCAACACTCTATTTAATGGTTGGTTGTATAGTAGACTCTGGCCCCCAAATCTCCTACTCTACAGCTGTATGTAGACACATATTATATTGGTCTCCATTGTCTGATATCAAATTTGTGCACCTACAACACTGGCTTATTTGGACACTAGAACATACTATTAACTAGCAGAGGCGCCCTGCCTTCGGTGGTATTTAATCTCAGGGGTAATAAGGGGAGAGACTGCAATCAGGTTAGTACAAAATAAAATGAGTAAAACAGAGTATGGTTAAACCTGAAAAATTAAACGTAACAAAACAGCGAACGTATCGGCAGAAAGCCTTCGTCAGCGAACAAAACAACAGAAAAAACGTTATAAAAATAAGAAATAGCACTTAGCTGGTAAGTAGTATCTGTGGGCAGCAATAGAAGTGTCACACTTCTATTGCTGCCCACAGATACTACTTACCAGCTAAGTGCTATTTCTTATTTTTATAACGTTTTTTCTGTTGTTTTGTTCGCTGACGAAAGAAGTGTCACACTTCTATTGCTGCCCACAGATACTACTTACCAGCTAAGTGCTATTTCTTATTTTTATAACGTTTTTTCTGTTGTTTTGTTCGCTGACGAAGGCTTTCTGCCGACACGTTCGCTGTTTTGTTACGTTTAATTTTTCAGGTTTAACCATACTCTGTTTTACTCATTTTATTTTGTATTTAATCTCAGTCGTGTTTTTTAATTTATTTTAATTTATAGGCCTATATATAAATATAGTGTGATCAATTTTACTTTTTCGTTCACCACAACTGTGGCTATTTTAAACAAAAGACAAAGGTTGCCTGCCTTGGTTTAGGAATTATTTAAATTTCACAACGTCCAGGTGTCAAGTAAATTAACTCTCAACACAATGTTGCCATGTAATGAGCCAAGCTGGCTTAAGCACCGCCAACAGGAAAGACCAATTGTAACAAATATTAAATTAAACGTTTATGACCGACCTATTTTGTATCTATGTATAGTTCAAATAATGAAAAATACGAAACGTGAATCACCGGATCAGGGCATTCCCCAAGGGCCGAGATGCGTTTCTTCCCCCTAAACAATCTCATGAACTCATCTAAAAGATGATCTATCAAATAACATTTCAAAATTAGGCCTACTTCCGACGTTTCACTGCTTGTCATCCACTACATACAAATACTAATGTAAGGATAGGGTGGTACTTGTTATTATGATTGTGTCTTTTCTAGAGTAAAGGCACCTGCTCTCTAGTTTTCAGCGATAGCTTTATGCCCTAATAGTATAACAGTGGGTCTACTATTTTTGTACCCGGTGTTGTTCGTCCTTAACATGCAAAGGTGACCAAGGCTGTACACTATAATTACACGGCGAGTACGGTACGCAGGTGGCCTGTCAGTGGGGTAATGAGGGGAGAGACTGCAATCGGGTTAGTACAAAATAAAATGAGTAAAACAGAGTATGGTTAAACCTGTTTTGTTGCGTTTAATTTTTCAGGTTTAACCATACTCTGTTTTACTCATTTTATTTTGGCCTGTCAGTGGCCAGTCCTATTTGTGACAAGCCCTGCCCATCTGGCGTGTCCTTTTTTTTTTTTTTTTTTGCTACAAATTGTAGGAGCGTGTGGATGCTGATACAATCGGCCCGTTGTGGGACCACTGTGTCGGGGACTCTCTCCTGGATGCTGATACAATCGGCCCGTTGTGGGACCACTGTGTAAGGGACTCAATCCTGGATGCTGATACAATCGGCCCGTTGTGGGACCACTGTGTCAGGCACTCTATCCTGGATGCTGATACAATCGGCCCGTTGTGGGACCACTGTGTCAGGGACTCTATCCTGGATGCTGATACAATCGGCCCGTTGTGGGACCATGGTATCAGGGACTCCGTACTGTCATCTTGTGCCAAGAAGTTTACGTAGGCAGGGTATGTGGAGATGGGTTAGCTGTCTAGCATGTCTGCTCTTACTGTCCACGTCTCGCCAGCAAATAGGAGTGGTTTTAACAAAAATAAGATTGCCCTTTCAGCTTAGTGGCAAGACTAAGACCCCTTCGTTCCCACACACACTCCTGCGGAGCCCTCCCAATGCAACACTTGCTTTGAAAATTCGGTTTTTTGATCCCATCATCTATTGTTACTGACCTGGAGAGGGTGCTGCCCAAATAATATGTCCTATGTTTATACCAAGTTAAGTACAATAAACAGTGTGATACAGACACACTTGACTAGGCTGTTACTGTTATGAAAACTATGTTCAGGGGGGCGTCCATTAATTAAAATGTCAACAAAATAGGGGGGGGGGGAGGGGATTTGGAAATGCTTGACTGTTGTTTAATTAAAATGTCAACAAAATAGGGGGGGGGGAGGGGATTTGGAAATGCTTGACTGTTGTTGACAAGGGGGAGGGAGGGAGTTTAGATTAGTTGACGTCAACAATCATGTTTCCTCTATTAAAATTTTAATTTTAAAAATTGACTGGTTAACACATTATTTTAACAAATTTAATGAGGGTAAATTTAAATAATTTGTAGGCTTTTAACTGTATAATATTTATTTAATGTGTGTCTGTGCACTGCTGATGGCTGGTCAGAATGTTAGGACACTTTTGTTAGTGCAAGAGAAGTCAACAGTTGGCCTCTCTTCACCTGTAGATTCTTTTTGTCGAAAATGGCTAAGTGCAATCGTGTTGCAAGTATGGAACAAAGACGAGTCGAGTGTCATGAGCTGTCAAGATAAATTATATTGATAGAGTAGTAATATGATATTTTGAGAATTAGGGAAAAGTAAAGTGAGTAACAATAGTAACCGCTGCTTGAACATTTTTTAAAAATGTGTAACACGTGTTTTGGATCAAAAGTCATGTTGGAAAAACATTTTCAACAGCACAGACAATTGTTACGATAGAGCAACACCTGGCTACTCCATGGAACGATGATGGCAGCTAGAAACTATAGTATAATTGTCAGCTTTACTGACAATAGCTTTACTGACAATAATCATATTTATACCACAGGCAATGATTTGTAGCTTCAACAACCTTTTTACTTGATTCTGCATTATACAATTTAAGTGTAAAAACGTTTAACTGGTTTATCAAACAAGCTAAAGATGTAACGGTCATGAAATGTTTTCCCTCAAAATTGTTTGGTCATTAAAATAGATCAGCACAAAGTAAAACGTATTTATATATTTATTTATATTATAATTCACTTTTTTTTCGGGCGGGGGGAAGGGGTGGGGGTGTTAGAAAATGTTGACATAATTAAATAGAGGGG